ACATCTTAAATTAAGTTGTTGTTAATTGTTATTGGTTTAATATAAGTGGCTATTGTTCGGGACGAACAATACTAAGGAGGAAGCAGTGTTGCGTCAGCGAGGTCACGTGACTAGTATCACGTCACTTCTTTCTCGAACCTTCGGGAGATTACTAGATATAGGGTAGTCTGGTATGTATAAGATGGTGATAACGTGACGGGACAATGTGTGTAGGTAGTGAGTAATTGAACTGCAGTCAGAGAGTATTGTTGAAGTTAACGTTCGTTGTTTTAGCGTTTGTTAAAGAGTGACTGTTGAAAATAAGTGTATCGGTAAAGTTATATTCAGAAAGAATAAACCAGTTTTATTTAAGAAAGGACTTGTGTCACTAAAGTTTAGTCGGAGAGAATTTACGGAAAAATTAATTAACGAACGGAGACGTAACAGCACTTTTTGCAATCTAGAGGACGACATTGTCATGTGTCTTAAAATACTTGTTTACTTTGATTGCCTTGAAATATATAAAGATTTATTTTCATTTAGTTTTTACATCGTGTTTGGCTTCTTTTGTTAAACTCAGTATATACAACATACAATTTTGTGCTGTTCCTCATGCTATTGCGGTTACGGCACTGTAAATAGGCGCTTGTGAAAGAATTCCACACACACACACACACACACACACATATATATATTTGAGGAAATTGTATCTTTATATTTGAATGAAAGGGTTAGCCGCTTCTTTATTTCCCTTTATCAGTTTATGTAATTGATTAGAATTTTGTGCATTTAATTTTATACAGCATATTTATTTTTGAATTACGTAAAAAAAAAGAAAAAGTAAAAATAATGATGATTTTTTTTTCTTATTTACATTTGTCTTGGAATTAATGTTAAAGAAGATTCCTTTGAATATCTTTTGATTCTTTCAAAATTAAATCTAATAAATTTGGTGCACCAGTGAAAACGGATGTTATCATCCCTCCATCAGAAATATCGAAAGAGTCACTGGATTTTATTTAAACGTCTTTAAACCCCGTATCTACTTGCATTTATATTGGCTGTTGCTGGTGGTGAAGCGTAACACAGTTTCTATACGTAAAAGTTAGAATTGTGAAACTATAACACAATTATCTTGATTTGGGAGGTGTGTGTGTCGTTCGTCTGAAGAACAAATAACCGTTTTTCTTCGTTTATGAATTGAAAAATACGGTAGGGACATACAAATGATATATAATAAATTTTATAACTTATATTTTAATATACTAATCTAGGGAGTCTTAAGGTTAAACTCAAAGTGATTTAAAAGTTAAACTATATTACTTGTTAGTAATAGTATATAGTAATTAGTATATTCACTAAATATTACTATTACTGAGTATTAGTATTATTACCCAGTACTAGTAGTAAGTAAATAATATTATTACTATTAGTCTAACTTTAAAAGTGTAACGTTATTTACGAGGTCTCTTCAATTCATATTGATGTTTAACGGTTTATTACTATGACTAGTATTACTATTAATAGTATTTATAAGCGGATAATAATTTGACACATCAATCATGTAACATCCTTATCTATTACTAGTACTATAAGTGTTGTTATTTGTCGTATTAATATATATATATATATATTATTCCATTGCAGTTCAATTTTACTTTCCAATTCCTATTTCGATGCTTAGGAATAGGAGACCTAGGTTTCTATGTAGTACTACTACTAGCACTTAGTTACTAGGAATGATTTAGTAACTACTGCCAACTGCTATAACAGTTAACACTAGTATTAGTAATACTACTAATGTTACATCGATATCCGTTCAATCCAACATTGCACTCAAAATGCATTAAATCCTTATAATTTTTAACTTATAGGCCTAAACATAAGTTTCAAAAATGTAATTACTAAATACCGAAGTCTAACCATATCATATGTGGCATATGTAAATAATAAGCACAAACATAAAATTAAAGTGGGTGATGTAAGTTAGCAGCTGCTGAATAAAGCAATATCAATTCTACACATTTCCAGTTTGTCATGTTTCAGGGTTTATATTTTAATTTTTATTATTTACATACGGTTAGATTACAGTACTTAATAGTTCCATTTCATTATATTTTTGGTGTTTAAAATAAAAGTCCTTTGTTTAGGCCATTTTAATTTAGTCTAGGATAATATTCAGGGATGAAACTCTATCAGTACTTGCAGAGTACTGGAACTGATTTTTTAAGGCGGTACTAGTACCAGGACTTATTTGAGTTGTTTTGTCAATTTTTTATGTTTACGTGTAGGTTTTATTTCTTTTTCAAAAACAGGTCCACTTCACTCAGCTGAGTACATCTACTTTTTTTTTGAGAATTTCACCCCTGATAATATTAATGACTCAAATGAGTAAAACTCGAGCTTTAAGTCAAGGGCAATCATGATTCTGACTAGTGTAGCTCTAAATATTATACTATCAATAAGGTATAAATTAAAATTCAGACATTAGATCAAGGGATTAGTTCACAAATACAAGTAAGTAATATTTGAATACTGATGTATTCTAACTTGTAGATAGTCTGAACTATTAAAATTAAATTACTGGCTTTTCCACTGTCCACTAGTACTGCTAGTAGTACCAGTGAAGCTCATAGGTATGGTTGGAAGTGGTGTGGTGGTGACACTGTCAGTGTAGTGCATGTCATCTGTCATACAGCCATACATATAACACATGCTGCTTGTGCCCTTCTCCTGCAGCCAAATTCTGTTCAGTCAAGTTGAAGTGAGCATACAATATGATAGTGTGCTCACCTCAACTTAACTCCTACTGTGGCCTGTGACTGTTCAGTCAAGTTGAGGTGAGCAATACACTACACCTGTGCTCTCCTTTTGTAGACATCTTTTCATTTCAGTTAAGGTGAGCATGTACTATAGGAATTCCAATGGCATGAATACTGTGTCTCCTCCTGCAGCTGTTATTGGTCTAATAAAGTCTGATGGTAGAGTTGATGTGAGCACATAAGGTACAGTCTGAATGAATCAAAACCACACTACACATATTAGCTCTCCAACGTCTTGAGTGTAAGTACTCCTATGGCCATGTTCTTATTCTGCTCAATCCCTGCAACACATGGGGCTCACTTGCCTCTTCCTGAATGAGATAAGATGCAGTCTCTCACAGGTATACCCCTATTCAGCCATTGGGTGTCACAATCCATGAGCTTCCTCCAAGTACTTTTTGAATGGAAATTATCAAAGTAAAACTTTGCACCAGCCTCTCTATTGGTCTTCTATTATTAAAAGCCTTTTGATGTATAATGACATCATTATGCAGTAGCACAATTAATGAGAAATCTTGTGAGATTAGGTAGGAAAGGCTAGTAGCATACAAATCTCTAAGGCAGATGCATGGTAAAGGTAGCTGTGTACTGAGATAGGTATCTAGTGGAAATGCATTTTCAGGTAAGGAAAATGTTAACTTCTGGGACAGTTGGAGTATTCTCAGCTGTACTTTGTCATGCAAGCCCAGCTAATTCTTTTTTTTTCAATATCTGGTTACTTCTTTGTTCCTTTTATCTGGTTGGGATTGAATATTCATCTTTAGGGTATTCTTTTCTTAGTGTTATTAAAGCTGTTTATTTCTTATAGTCTAGGTTGTAATGACCATGTTTTCCACATTTATAACAGTTCTTTGTTTTCTGGCATCCTTTGAGGGGATTTTTTATTCCATACAGAATTTTGTGTGCAGTTCCTGGCACCTTGAAGGTACACTTGACATACTTATTGTCTTATAGTTTTATTTTCTTCATTCTGTCTAGTCTGGCTAATCCTTTCAACCCTTCTAGACTATTGTCATGGGAAGTTGATGTATCATTACTGCTTGATCTAATGATCTTGTAACTTCCAGGTGGTGCTTTTAGTTTTTGTTCTGATCTGAGACTAATTGATTCAAGATTCTTCACCAACTGCAGAGCTTCCTTTGAGGATTTTATAGCATCTTTGCTTTGGCATAATTCTTGTATCCTTATCTGTACAGCAAGTTCTGCTAAAGTATTTCTTTCCTCTGTACCCTATTCTGGAGTTTTATTTAAGATATATCCTTTTCTCCCTCTTAATTAGTGTTGTTATTCCTTTGTATATTGGGCTTGGTCATTTTGACCAGTCTTGTCATCACAATGTTACCATGAAACTATGTACTATAACTTTTAATGTAGTAAGTGTATCCTCATGATACTTGGCACATAATATTTTTATTAAAGATTTGTCTGTAAATTTGTGGTTTGACTAAAACCCTGACCAGTCTGAGTGCAAAGTGATTTTCATGTTAAGATTAATATTTTTTTTCCGTTTTACATTTTCAAGTGAAATTATATTTCTTTTTTTCTGTTCAGGGTTGTTCCATTAAATCTAAATTACCTTTTCTTTTTTGAGTGATTGTATATTTTTAAATATATTTACACACTATTCTTACAGCCATAGCTATTATAATTAAAACTTTTGAATCATTTAGATTTATTGCTTTACTGTCTCTCAGATTAGAGCCAAGTGATTTATTAAGCAGGGAAGCATTTTGTAAATATATCTTGAGTTATCAGAATGCTCGTTCAAATTACTACATGCTGTACTCCCAAGATGTGCTCTTGCTATTGAGTATTTTTTTATTTCATTTTTCATACTTAACCTAATTAGTTTATTATTCCCATTTTTTAACTTCTTGTTGCTTTTATTGCAGTAAATAAAAATAAAAATGAACATAAAAAAACAAGAAATGTAATACTTAAGTGTGGATCTTGTATTTCTTTTTTGCTATCAGTTTCAGTTGTCTTTGTAGGGGTGAGTTAGTATTTTACTTAATTTATCTTAAATATGAGTTAGAACACAATATCGCACAATAAAAAAATAATATCCTAAAACTATTATAAGGTAACTGGTTTTCTAACTAAGATATACGTTAATTAAAGGTTTCCTTACCTGGTTGAGGCAATCTTATTGTTAGCAAAGTATGAAAAAGACATTGAATAACTCAAAACCAGTCCTGACAATGAGCTATCTTCATAAGGAACGCAGTAAATTAAAGTCTTATTTGTCTGTTGTTTATAAATAATCCAATAGCAAATGTTTATGAGAGAATTATTAAATTTTTTTTTAAAGGCATCATATGCTAGGAGGTGGAGGGCATGCAAGTTTCAGTTTATGGCCTACCAGTTTAGAATCATTAGCATATGACTCATTAAAGCAAGAAGAATATAGGCTATAAGTTTTCATTCCAGCTTGGGAATAACTATATAAATGTGTAAGTCCTTGGAAATTTAGCAAGTAATTAATATAGGGGTGGAAATAAATTCTAAAATGGGCAATTCTGAGCAAAGAAGTGTCAAGTGATATGTAACTGAAGATTGAGAGTTTAAATATTTCCTTTTGATACTATGAAATTAAAACTTCTATGATTTATAATCTGTGTTTTTATGCTAAGTTTATTGATAAAGATTGGTAGTATATTTGTATGTAACTGTAAAAAGATTGTAACAAGCCCACTTTGACCTGCCTACACACATAGGGTTAAATCTTGCCCTTTTAAATAAGCAGCAAGATGGGTAGTTTGCTCACTATTTCACTCATTCATTCTAGAAATTATTTTCAAGTATGCCTCCCATTGTACATTTCCGATGTAGTCTTTTGGTTTCTTGATTGGATGATGTTATTGAACTAGCCAGCTAAGTTATGAAACTGGATATGGTAATGATATAACTGGAACAGTCCAGGAAGGTCCTACAGTCATAACTGCCACAGCAGTAATTATAACCGGTGCAGAGCAAATAGTTTCTGCTGTATTTTATTGTAAATGGTGTTTCAGGTTGGAATTCTTTGTGGATACAAAAAGAGGTGTGGCTGGTTTGGTCTTGCAGTTTCCATTTATATTGTTCGGTCATTGATGTTCTTTTGTACCTCATTGATTTCATTTATCATTTTGTCCATTAGTCTTTCTGTATGTTGTGGTTGTCCTTTTGTACTTCTTCATTCATGTTGTAATCCTCATGTACATCTCCGACAGATTCATCAATGTTGTCTTCAATCAGATTTTTTTCTTCATTCTTCTTCGAATATTACATCTTCCTTTTAATTATCTTTTTAAATTTCTTGATCTTTTAATGCTTTGTCATGTTTTGCTTTTCTTTTTACTGTTTCATTGTATCGAGCAAACTTTTGATCTCACTTCATGCCTTTGTTGT